CCGCGGGGCGGGGGGGGGGGGGGGGGGGGGGCCCTGGCCTAAAGCCATGTAAGGGGCCCCAAAATTTCTGACGGCTGCCCTGGGTACAATTACCTCCAGGTATATTTTCAGTTACATGGTGGAGATCACTTGTATCAATATCTTTATCCATACAGACACCATGGTTTCCGATCCTGCAATGAAAGGTCAGCGTTTATAGAAAGGTAGATGCAGCAGGAGAAGAATGATTTCTGTCACTGATTCGCATTAACAATAATTTTACCTTCTTGGTCCATGTGGACTTCCACCACCGAGACAATTCAACAGGATTCTCACCATTGCTTTCTCTCCCCTTATCTCCTTCTATTTCTCTCTCCTCCTCGCCTATATTTATTTCCCTCTCCCCATTCCTCTGCCTTCTCTCTCTCTCTCCCGCCGTCCTCCCTTCTCTCTCCTTTTCCTTTCTCTCCATCCCTCAGGTTCCGCTGATTCGTTGTGTGGAACAGGCTGGGTGGACTACGGCTCAAGCTGCTACTATCTGTTTCGTCATGTAAGATCATGGCTGAGAGCCAAGGAGAATTGTGAGCAGAAGAAAGCTCATCTGGTGGTCATCAATAGCAGAGAAGAGATGGTGAGTGGAGACAGGTGGAGACTGTCATATGGAATTGTAACTTTTGAGGGTACTTCTGCTAGTAAACGTGTAATAAGGGGGTCATGAACGATGGAGGGTGTGCATGCAGACAAGGACAAGGACTGCAGATGTCCTTGTAGAAGACAGTATAACTCAAGTCCATCCTTGCAGTAGAGCTGTGTACATCGGTTTGTGAAGGCTCCACACAGATTTCCGTTTGTAGTGATGGCCTCCCCCCCCAGGAGCCGGTGGGAATGTTGGGTTCTCCTACTTGGTTTGTGGTTACCTGCCTTGGTTCAAGATCCAGCAACACCGACCAACTTCTTGTAATGATCCGACTCATGTCTCATGACATCACTGGCTCATGTCTCATGACATCACTGGCTCATGTCTCATGACATCACTGGCTCATGTCTCATGACATCACTGGCTCATGTCTCATGACATCACTGGCTCATGTCTCAAAGGGGCTGGATTCCCCCCTCCCCGCTCCGATCCTCCAGCGCTGACTGGCTGAACGGATGGGGGAGGGGGCGGGTGCAGCTGGCTCTGCCTCTAGATAGGCGGAGCCAGCTGTCAGTCACGCAGCTGGGCGGATACAGACAGAATTGTCGAGATCCACTCCGGCTGCGGTGTCTCAGTATAACGCGAGCTATAGCTCCCTATATACTGAGCATAGGGTGACGGGAGGACGCTAGTTTGTGTCCTCCTGTTACCCTAAGGAGAACTATGGGGGAAAGCCCTGACATCATAGCTCTCGTTTAATACAAAAACTCAGGAGAGAGGGTTTAGAGATGCAGGATACTTGAAAGCACATAAATAGTAACAGCAGCAGCTTCAGGTTCTATAAAAGGAACCGCCAAAAATAAATACAGATAGACACGGGGCAGCCAGGTAAATCTACATCCCTGTAAGAGCAGTCCCAGTCCTTGTAGTGCACCAACTGGCCCTGATCCCTCTGTAATATAGCCGGATCTAAGGGCAATGTATACTTCTTACAATGTCCAGATGGCAGCTCTTCAGCAAGGAGATGCCTTCTCCAGCCCAGCTTCCATCAGGTATCCTCTCCAGTGAGTAGCTTAGTATCCAGGGCCCCCAGCCCATGGCACTTGTTGAAGCCCCGTCATCAGATCCTCACACAGGCCTCCTTCCAGAGAGAAGCCCGAGGGAGGAGAGTCTTCTGGAAAGGTGCTCCCAAATATTTTTCATCTCTCCAGCAACACCTCTGAGTCAGCTCCTCAGGGACTGGTTGAGTCAAGGAAATATTCATAACTTGGGGTTAAAAAAACCCCCCCCCAGCAACAGGCAGAATCAATCAATCTACCAGGCTTCAGGAAAACCTGCAGAACACCGAAAAATAGATACTCAGACTGGCTACAGTCCAGTAATGAATGCACTGAATTGGACAGAGACGCAACTGCAGAAGTCAGGGTCACCACATGCATTATGCTCAGAATGACAGTCCCGCAGTAACTTGGGGCAGCTAATCCTGCTACTGCCTGGTGAAGTCCAGATCTACCGATCAGCTTGTTCCAGCTGGCTGTGATGAGGAGTGTAAGCTCCTCTGGTGCAGAGCTTGTCAGCGCTATACAATATTAGTTCACGATAAATGTCACCTTGTAACCTTCTATATCTTGTTTTTCTGAAGAATTTCATAAACAAACTTTCGCGCTCAGTCAGTGTGTGGATCGGTCTCAGTGATCGGGACGGATCCTGGAAATGGGTGGACGGCACTCCTTATGAGAAGACTCCCAAGTAAGACTTTGACCCTCCAAATGTCAGAACGCATTGTTGCAAAAACTGAATGTTTCCGTAAATGTAAAATATTTTGTTTTGTAAGCCGATGTGAGAGATTTCACCTTCAATAAGAACTTAGCAGACTCGTCTGCCGTCCATTGTTCTCCTGGCCCCACCATCAGGTTCTGGCCAGTAAGTCAAACCCACTCACTGATGTTCTCTTGTTTCCTGCAGGTTCTGGAAGCCTGGCCAACCTGATGATTGGTTTGATCCCAGTGAGGGCGAAGGGGAAGACTGCACTCACACACTTGATGGAGATAAATGGAATGACATTCGTTGTTCCATGAGCTTTCCGTATGTCTGTGAGAAGACCAAATCCTGACCTGCTCATTACTTCTCCACCATCCACGGGAACGCACAATCTATTCGCACAGGGCAGAAACGACTCTGCAGCACATGCTTGTATTTGTATTATCCGGAGGATGGGGTGGTCTCTGTATTCACACCTACTCCAAATTCTTCTTCTCCTGAAAGAACTGAATTCCGCATCCTACAGTTGTCCGACGGCCAGCCACAAAACAGTGTGTATGGGAAGTAGGTGGGGGGGATTGTCAAAGTACAACTTGTACTTGTTCCCAGACCTTTGTTTTGCCAAACATGCATCCCAAGTTCCTGTTGGTGAGATACCATTGAAGCTCCACAGCAAATGCGTGGTCCCTGCAAAGCTGAGAGCGTGACCCCACCCACAGCTCTTCAGTGACCACACATGGTGGTGCAGCTCTACGTCTCATGTCCACCTACATATACTCAAACAAACACAGCGCCATTCTTACACCCTAAGCCCAATTATTACAGAAACAAAACACAATGAAACAAAGAAACATATAACAATAAATGACGTCATAATAAAGAAATGTTATTCTGTATCAGTTGTATTACAAATGTTTATAAACCGTTTATCCTGACTCCAATAAAATGAAAGCACACCACAAAAAGTCTCTGCTTAGACCAGGATTCCATACCTCGGGTTCCTGCAAAGGTGGACGGTGGTTCTCCGAGTATCTGACTGACCTCTCACTGGATGGTGCCTGCAGAAATCCATGATCAACGCCACTGGGCAGAGCCAGCACCACGACACTGAGGAATGTGATAGTTTTCTGTAATTGAGTCAATGTGATCAATACATTAAGGATTGACCACCAATGTAAGGAACATTGGGGGTCAGTGGGGAGAATGCTCCTTACATTGGGGGTCAGTGGGAAGAATGCTCCTTACATTGGGGGACAGTGGGAAGAATGCTCCTTACATTGGGGGTCAGTGGGAAGAATGCTCCTTACATTGGGGGTCAGTGGGAAGAATGCTCCTTACATTGGGGGTCAGTGAGAAGAATGCTCCTTACATTGGGGGTCAGTGCGAAGAATGCTCCTTACATTGGGGGTCAGTGGGAAGAATGTCCCTTACATTGGGGGGTCAGTGGGAAGAATGCTCCATACATTGGGGGTCAGTGGGAAGAATGCTCCTTACATTGGGGGTCAGTGGGAAGAATGCTCCTTACATTGGGGGTCATTGGGAAGAATGTCCCTTACATTGGGGGTCAGTGGGAAGAATGCTCCTTACATTGGGGGTCAGTGGGAAGAACATTGGTGACATGCTATGACACCTCCGTCCTGTAACATAGGGACTTCCTGTGACACCGCTGCTTTAACTGGAGTCCAGCTCTTCTTGTTTAGTGTCAATTATTCAAAGTTCAATATCAGACACTAAGTAACTTTTCAGTGGATACAAACTATAATATTCTCACAGTAAATGAGTCATTCAACCACAAAGTTGCTGAGAGCTCCACACACCGCCCATGTATCATCGGGGGGACAATCTCTCAGGCAATGTGTGTGGCCTCCCGATAGAGACGATGAAAGACGAGGAATTCATTTATTTCACTTCCCATTTTCTTCTCGTTGGGAAAACGATGAACTTTCTGTTTCCAATCACTGATATTTCTGAAACAATATGTAAAATAAAGGCTGCTACAAAATGTCAGAATCACAATAACACATTTGGGGTCACTATCGTGGATCTGGTTATGGGCTGAGGTGATGAGAAGGTCTCCCTTATACCTCTGGTAAAGATGCCTGTGGAATGGTGGACAGAGGATGAGAAGGTACAGAGGGTCATGGGGGCCGAATGTCCACTCTGCAGGTGCACACTTCCTAAAGAAGACTCTGGAGGTGACTTGGTGTCACCATCCGGGGTCAGGCTCGGAGTCCAGTAGCTGAAGCAGCAGGCAACGTCATGGTATAACAGGCCGGGTTCTGTACACAAGCAGGCGGTAGTGGTATGGGAGCAGCAGAAGCGTAGTCAGAGGTCAGTAGCCAAAGGTATCAGGTATGAATCAGAAGATGATGAGAGTAGTCGTTGAATCAGCAACCAAAGGTCGGTACACGGGTAGCCGTATGAGCGGATTGTATCACAGAGGGAGCAGGAAGCAAGATAATGGCAGGAGCACAATAATCTGGCAAACAGGAAGTGCAGAGGCGTGGCTTAAATAGGTTAAAGGGAGGAGCAAGGAGTTCAGAGTTCAGCAGAGATTAGGTATAACTGGGAATTACACAGGAGATCAGGCAAGGAGCTATCCAAGGTTCTAAGGTGGCTCAGCAGGTAGAACCACCGCCAGCTACAGCAGAGGTCCCGGGTTCAGATCTGGTTCCTGAAACTTGGTTGCGAAGTGCTCTCGATGACAGGAGATGGAGATTGGTGAAAGATGTCACATAAGAGCAGGGCTGAAGATGTAGCCACTGCAGGGGGCAAGGTGTAGAAAGACATCAGGCTGGAAATGTAGTCGGAGACGAAGCTGAAATCAGCAACCATGGAAATTAACATCCAGTAGGGTAAAGTCAGAAGGCAGGCTAAGGCCACACAACTAAGACAAGCCATGGTTAGGAACTAGCTGGATCAACAATGGAGAGGAGAAGCAGAAGGTCCAAGATGAGCCTGGTCAGCAACAGGTAGGCAAGCAAAGGCATGGCCAAGGGCAAGCTGTGTCAGCAATGGGTAGACAGAGGGAAAGCAGATTTAAAAGCAACATGGGTCGTAACCATTTGGGTCAGGTCCAAGACACAGGGTAAAAGCTGAAGACCATCCAGCAAACTTAGTTCAGTTCTGCTCCATAAATAGGTCTACTAATGTTGTAATTTGGTCATAACCTTGTGATGTTTTATGATGGCATCCTGACAGTAATCCTTCACTTTGAGAAGAGCTTCAGTCCATCTAATATTATTGCATTACAATGTCAGGCCTGTGGAGGGGATTTATAGCTCTATAGTAGACAAGCTTCTAGTTCTTTGGAGAATGATGAATTGAAAATGGAACCTACATCACACTCTGCTCTCCAGAACTTCTCATCAATAATGTGGTGGTTAGGGAAGCCGTGGAAGGGTTTCTGGTGTCCTGCTAACACACTTGGGGTTGTTTAGAACTGTAGATTTCCAGGAATTTGGACCATCGTGAGGGAAAACTGTTATAAAATGATCTCCATTCCATAACTAATACAGATCCATCAGAAGCAACCTGGTGATGCCGAGGTGTCTGGCTATTCCATTATGGATTTACCGTCATGTTTAGCCGTTGGTATCGGACATTGCAGAATTGTGGTTTAAAAGTTTCCTCTGACTTTTTCCGAAGATAAACCCACCGAAATGTTGGAGAGATTGGGACAAAGGACCTTGTTACTTTATACGTTGCTCAAGATTTTTACCTCTTGCATGACGTCCAATGGAGGAGGTTTCTGAATGACTCCCAGAAATTCCACCTCCGAGGACCTACAACAGCTTCTGTTCAGCGTCCTCTCATCTCTATCGATGAGCTTGAATTTTGAACTACTGTTCCTCTTTGTTGGCTCTCTTTGTCCATGTTTAGAAAATGAAGCATTTTTTCCCCTCATTACATAAATTATTGTTTATTGTTCCCTATCCAGGTTGTCTGCTCCTGGAGTGCTGGCACCACAGCCAATCAATTCTTGGGAGCCACCTTAAAAGACTAGGTGACATGTGACTTAGCATTTAAGCATACCTAAACCAAGATCCTCATGTCTGCTCCTACATCCCCTGTGCCTCCAGTGTCTGCTCCCACATCCCCTGTGCCTCCAGTGTCTGCTCCTACATCCCCTGTGCTTTCAGTGTCTGCTCCTACATCCCCTGTGCCTCCAGTGTCTGCTCCTACATCCCCTGTGCTTTCAGTGTCTGCTCCTACATCCCCTGTGCCTCCAGTGTCTGCTCCTACATCCCCCTGTGCCTCCAGTGTCTTTCCCTTTACATCCCCTTTGCCTCCAGTGTCTGCTCCCACATCCCCTGTGCCTCCAGTGTCTACTCCTACATCCCCTGTGCCTCCAGTGTCTGCTCCCACATCCCCTGTGCCTCCAGTGTCTGCTCCTACATCCCCTGTGCCTCCAGTGTCTGCTCCTACATCTCATGTGCCTAACTGTCTGCCCCTCCATCCCCTGTGCCTCCAGTGTCTGCTCCTACATCCCCTGTGCTTTCAGTGTCTGCTCCTACATCCCCTGTGCCTCCAGTGTCTGCTCCTACATCCCCCTGTGCCTCCAGTGTCTTTCCCTTTACATCCCCTTTGCCTCCAGTGTCTGCTCCCACATCCCCTGTGCCTCCAGTGTTTACTCCTACATCCCCTGTGCCTCCAGTGTCTGCTCCCACATCCCCTGTGCCTCCCGTGTCTGCTCCTACATCCCCTGTGCCTCCAGTGTCTGCTCCTACATCTCATGTGCCTCCAGTGTCTGCTCCTCCATCCCCTGTGCCTCCAGTGTCTGCTCCTACATCCCATGTGCCTCCAGTGTCTGCTCCTAAATCTCATGTGCCTTCAGTGTCTGCTCCTACATCCCCTGTGCCAACAATGTCTGCTCATACATCATTTGTGCTTCTAGTGTCTGCTCCTACATCCCCTGTGCCTCCAGTGTCTGCTCCTACAGCCCCTGTGCCTCCAGTGTCTGCTCCCACATCCCCTGTGCCTCCAGTGTCTGCTCCTACATCCCCTGTGCCTCCAGTGTCTGCTCCTACATCCCCTGTGCCTCCAGTGTTTGCTTCTACATCCCCTGTGCTTCTAATGTCTGTTCCCACATCCCCTGTGCCTCCAGTGTCTGCTCCCACATCCCCTGTGCCTCCAGTGTTTGCTCCTACATCCCGAGTGCCTCCAGTGTCTGTTCCTACATCCCCTGTGCCTCCGGTGTCTGTTCCTACATCCCCTGTGCTTATAGTTACTATGACCCTCATGCACAGAACAGACTGTTTAATGTTCCTTTGCCTGTCACAACCTCCCAGCTCCTTCTGGTGGTTGCTTGTTGTCACTACAACTATCTCAGATTTCTTGCCAGCTGTGGGC